ACACACACACACACACACACACACACACACACACACTTGTATTTGCTACAGAGTGAGGACCGAGTCTGAAGCCTGCAAAATGAGGACCAGCAGTTCTGAACCACTTAGAAAGAAAACAATATCAGTTTTAGACACTAGGTGTCCCCAGCCACCCAAACACTCACCCAGATTTTGCAGAACAGCGATATTCAGGAAAAGTTTTTAAAGACGTGTCTATGTTTGACTTTTTTTTTCTAAAATCAGAGTTCTCTGAGTCAGCTTCAGGTGCTTGTAGTTAATCATAATATCTTCTAAATTAACCAGGTGTTTCAATGCCTTTAAATTACATAATTTTACTGGAGAAACTTGTCAGTTTGGTTAAAAAAAACAGTAATATATATAAATTTTTCCCTTTGCAGAGAACGTCCTCTGCTATAATTTTTTAAATAAATATATCAAAGCTTCTCAGTTGAAAACACTAAAATKATAGAAAAGATGTTTAAAAACCTCTTTCCTCAGAAAGTCTTCAGTCCTAAGAACACTAAACTGTAACTTTTAAAAAGGTCATGTACACAGAATACTCCTTTTTAAATAAAAAAGTTTTACCTGTAAGCAGAAAGTTTATGGATGTTGATTTTTGGTCTCTATTTCAAAGAGGATCTGAATCAGAATCAGAAGCTTTTATTGTCATTCACACACAACAGTACAGAATGAAACTGCTGTTTAGAACACCCATCCGGAGAAACACACTCGTGACAAACATGGGGGAACAAATGTCCAGGGTCCTTCGCAACTTAGTGCACTACCTTTGCAGTTTAGAATACACACACAATAGGAGAGGTGAGCTAAAAAATGGATGAGGAGAACGAGGAAGTTCTCCTCAAGCAGCTCCTAAAACTGTCCACCTGCTGACTGAGAACATTTGTATTAAGTAAACTTTGTATACATAAAAATATACTTACTAAATTTCATTTTAATTTCCATTTAAACCCCACCCCACTCATGAGAAGTCACTGCACCACCATGGTTAAAAGAAATCCTAGGGGAAACCCTGGAGGTTGCACCTGTTTCTGCTGTTAGCAGTCTTCCTGGAGGGAGTGAATGTGTCAGCACCATGGACAGCGCATTGCCATTTGTGAGAGATAGTGGTGGTACTGGTTTCATAGATAGCATACTGATGCATGGTTTGCAGAATTCTGATACATTGTGCTGGTTAGACAGCTTATTGGCTCATTTACCTGAGGATTGTGCTAAGCAGCTGACTGAATTGATTTCTCAGTTTTCTTCTTTGTTTTCAGATACACCGGGTTGCACACATCTGATAGAACACGACGTAGAGGTTGGCGATGCTAAGACAATTAAATGTTTCTACAGAGTCAATCTTTAGAAGCGTAATTTTTTGGATTCAGAAATTGACTACTGTTAGACAATGGTATGGCTGTGCCAAGCAGAGGCGATTGCTCTAAGACTGCAAGAGAAGCTCAGTTTCCCCTAAAATGTAAAAAAAAGGTGATCAAATACTRTATATACTGTTGTGAGCATGTCATTGACTAAATATGCACTACAACACACTCAACGTTTGTTCAGAATCAGCTTCTTATCACTGGTAACAACGCAGCTTTCCTCTCCCTCATTCCTGCAGCTTCACAGAGCTTTAAACAGTCGGACGCTGATGCTGCGTTCACACCGAACGCGATTTCAGCTTCAAAATCGCAGCCAACGCTGAAGTTTGAAGCTTGTGCACTTTGAGGTCAGACGCAGGACAGCTGTTGAAGCGCTGCACAGCGACAGCCTCTCCGCCCCTCCCTCCTCTGCCGGGCTCTGTTTAATGTCGGACGAGGAAGTGGCTTTGCTTTATTTACAGAGAGCAAGAGCATGTCACGTTCATCAGATAATTAATTCATAATTAATTCACCAGATAATTCAGAGTAGAGGCTCACAGCTCGCTTTCAGGACTATTTTTCCAGTCTGATGAGTCGCTGTCACGCATTGCTGCGGATCAGGACTCCGACTGCAGGCACTCATTTCAGCTAAAAGCTCCTCTCCGTCTGTTTCAGGTTAGTGGACATCATTCAGTAAACTGTCCCGTCGGGAAATATGTCGCTACGTCACACAGTGGAGTCTCTCTGATTGGTTGATGCTGCGCGTCGAGCTGCAAAAGTYCAGATTTTCTAACTTCAGCGATTTGCGCCTCAGCGCGTCGAACGCTCAGATCGTTCAAATCGTTCAAATCAGGCTGCTCTAATCGCGCTTGAGGCGCCGCAGCACTTCCTGACGTTGCTTGAAGCGCGTCCACCATAGACTTTGCATGTAAACCTGATGCTCCTGATGCTGAAATCGCGTTCGGTGTGAACGCACCATGAGCGTCCACAGACTTCAATAGTGAAGGAAAAAAATGCAGCGAAACGAGACGAGTCATTGGATAAATGCTGGGCTTTGTCCCGCCACCGGACGCTCAGCGTCTCTGGGGGTCTATGGAGCAGTGGGCCGGCTCGGACGCTCAGCTTCTGCAGGATGATTGGATGATCTGTCTGAGCCTGAATCTCTTTTTGATTGACAGCGAAATGAGCGAATCAGAGATCTTTTGGTGTAAACATTCAGTGGGAGCAGTTTTTAGTTTCGTTTCTGTTCTGAGCTGAACCAGAGACTTTCCTAATCCTCTTAGGGGCATTTTCTTTCTTAAAAACGACTAGCAACAAATCGAGTTTTTATTTCTGGTGGGTTTTATTGTATCTGCTTGTGTTTGGAGACAGACTTCTWTCACTCTTTCTGACGTTTATCACAGTTTCTGTTCAGTGGGTGCTGCTGAGCTCCTCCACCGTCACAAAGGACTCACAGGCAGACACTTCACACTAGCCTCACGTCAGTAACAAGATGCACATATGGTAGAAAGTTTGAATGTTGTGGACCGGATTTTGGCGAAGCCATTTGATAATCTTCCACACGAAGAAAAACTTAGAGTTAAACAGCAGAGCTGAGCAACTCCTCAGATTAATTCTGTGCAAAAGGTGGAAAAGTAAGATAAAAAAAAGCCTTTTTTTGATCCCACAGTGGGGAAATAACAGGTCTTTTCAGCTGTCTTGGTATAACAAAGTGAGCTGTCTGCTGTAAAAGATTATAGAATAATCTGGAAAATGATTATAAAAGCATTGGATCAATTAATTCCTTTAAAAAAATCACCAAAGTAAATTTGTTAAACACATATGAAATTGTTTAATTTGTATTTGTATGAGTCGCTGTTTGAGGAGTTGAATTTTTTTGTTTTGTTTTATTATTTATTGTTTGAAATTAATATTTTTTTGTAAATAGATGCAGATATCATAAGATATTTTTCTTCTTCTGCTGCCTTTAATTTTATTTGTACTGTTTTGTTGTATGTAATATTTAAAAAAAATGAAATCAATAAATACTATAAACTAAAGAAACCTTTCTTGAAAAGGAACGGAGGGTAGAATTTATATCCCACACATTTTATGATGTAGGCCGAAACTGAGGTTCCTCTTCTTGAAAGACCAGCATCCGCCACTGGTGCCAAGTATGTCCAGTTGGGCATCTCCTTGTATTCTGGTAACTAAATCTGATAACACTCTGCGTTTTTGTACAGATTACAGGAAACTTAATGCCATAACAAAACTGGATTGTTTTCCACTTCCAAGAATGGAGGATTGTGTAGATCAGGTGGGGTCTGCCATGTTTGTCAGTAAATTTGACCATTTGAAAGGTTACTGGCAGGTTCCATTGACGAAACGTGCGCAAGAAGTCTTAGCATTCATTACTCCTACAGCGTTGTATTCATATACAGTTATGCCATTTGGTTTGAGGAACGCACCTGCGACATTTCAACGCCTTATGAATAGAGTGGTTGGTAATATGTCCGGTTGTGCAGTTTATCTGGATGACGTTGTAGTATATTCTGACACACAGGAGGAGCATTTGGGGTGTATCAGAGAGCTTTTCACTCGTTTGGCTGACGCTTAGGAACTGTTTTGTATTT